AAAATTTTTTTATAAAATAATTTAAAAATTTTATTGTTTTTTTAATTAGAATAAAAAAATTTTTTGAAAACTTTATATAATAAAATAGAAACTTTAGAATTTTAACTTTTTTTTTTAGAAAAATTGTTTATTATTTTAATTACTTTTTTTTTTTAAACATTTATAGATAAGCTAGATTATAGTTTATTAATTAATTGAAAATTTAAATATATTTTTATTTAAACAGTATGATACATAACATAGTTGTCAAATCCAATCAACTCATTATAAGCAATAATAATTATAAATTTGATCTTGGAAACAATATTTCATTTTATAATAGTCTTTAGGTAAAAACTCCCCGAATCCATAATTTTATCATTAATAGATTGTTATTGTTAAATATCCTATCAAATCATTTAAATATAGGAAACTACAAAAGAATAGGTTAAAAAAAAAAAAATGAATGAATATATCAAAAAATATTTAAATAAATTTATAAGAAAACAAAAAAAATAATAATAATAAAATTCATCAGTTTCCTTCAAAGACATACTTTTCAAGACTTTCTCTAAATAAGAAAAACTTAATTGAAATATTTTTTTTTCTTTTGATTATTTAAAAAACTTACTTATTTTTTATTTTAATTTTTGTTTTATATAGTATCTAATAAAACTTATTACATAGTAAGAACCCTTTCTTTCAATAATATATTTGATCTCAACCTTCTTTGGATAGTAATTTTTTATATACTTATAATAAATGGATGACTTATGATAAATCCTGGTTCTTATATGATCTAATAGAAATGGAATCGTATTATTTTAATATGACATTTTTTAGCAGCTATATTTAATTAAAGAAATTTACTGATGACTATTTTTCATTACTCAAAAAGTTAAATTTCTCATCCTTTTTTTTTGTTTTGTAGTAGTGAAAGGATGATCATTTAAAGAAATTTTTGTCAATTATAATTTTTTTCAATAACTTTTGAAAAAAATATATTCTTAACTATAATTAAAGAGTTGAAGCTTAGTATGGATCAAAGACTATTCAGTCTTATTGCCTGATTAGAATATAAAAGAGACTTTGATTTTTAACTTTACTTAACTAGAATAATAAGAGAAAAAGATCTTAGTTTAAACAAATAATAATTTTTTCATTACCTGGAGACTTGTTGCTCATATATTATTAATCTCATAAAACTTGATCTGTAAATTAATTCAATTGGAGAAGGGAAATAGAATCAATATATCAATTAATTTTTTTATCACCAATAATATTATTAGGATATATAAAGTAATTAATAAAAACTTGTTTATATTCAATTATTAATAAATTATGATAGACAAAATTTTCTAAAAAATAAAAAAATTTAGGATAACTATAAGAGGGAGGATATAGTGGATAGACATCTTGAAAATATAGCTTAATGTTTGTTATTTTTTATTGCTAAAAATCCTTTATAATTATACTTCAATATAAAAAACTTCAAGTATTATATTATTGGTTTTTCTTTTTTGTAGAACTTTTTTATCATAGGTAAAAAAAATATTTCATGACTTTTTTAAATCACAAGAAATCAAGTTTTTGTTTGAAAATTAATATAAACAAGAGAATGGATTTTGAAGTATCTCTTGAAATAAAATTTCAAGTTAATTTAGAAATAGTGTTAAGACTTTATTAACAAAGAAATAAAAAATTTTTTGTGAATATCTTTTTTATGTGTGAGTAAAGAATTAATAAAAAAAGTTTTTTTAAAATAATATTAATTATTTAAATTACAAAATAAGAAATAAAATTAATATTATTATATAATTTTTTGTTTGTTTTTAATATAATAATTAAAAAACTTATTCAATTAAAAAAATTTTTTTTCTAAAAATTTTTATTATAAATAATATTATTGAATATATAATTATAATTATTAAAAGTTTTTTTATATTTTAAAAACTAATATGTATTGTATTAATTTATTATTTTTAATTAAGATTGTGTTATTCAAATATTTAAAATCAAATTAAAATAGATAAAATTTATTAAAAAGTTGTGAAAGTAAAAGTTTTAGAAATATATAATTAATAAGAAAAGAAAATAAGATTTTTTGTAATAAAAAACTTTTAAAAATATTTGTTTTAAAGATATAAAAATTTTTAAATATTTTATGATTAGGTTTTTTTTTTAAAAAATTTTTTTTTTTTTTTTTAATATCACTAATAAAGATATTACTTTACTTTTTGAATATTAAAAGTCATATTTTTGATTAAAAAAATTTTGTAACTAAAAAAAAAAATAAATTGATGATTTTTGAACTTATTTTCAAGTTGTTTTAAGAATAGTAATAACCAAAAAGTTTAAAAATTTTTAACAAATATATTTTTTATACATTATTAAAAAGTTATTAAAAATGTTTTTTTTTATATATTTTATAATTTAAATTAATAAAATAATATAAATTAATATTAATATAATAAAAAGTCTAATATAATCAAACCTAGAATATATAATTGTTTCTAAAAGTTTTAATTTATTTATTGTAAATTTTAAATTTATTAATTTTTAAATTCTTAATTATATAATTAAAAATTATAAAATTTATATATATTATACTTTAATATTAAATTTATTTCTTATTTTTTTATTAAATTTTTGTTTTTGAATAATTTGGATTGATTTTATCATAAATTATATAGTATAATAATTAATAAAAAAAAAAAAAAATTTTTTACAATAATTAAACTTTAAGAATTATTATAGAAATTTTTTTTCTAAAAATATAAGAAATAGAACAAATATTAAGATATAATATATAATATATAAATTTTATAATTTTTAATTGTATAATTAAAGATTTAAGAATTTTTCAGAATATTTTATTTTATTTTATTATTTTTATCATTTTTTAATATTTTTAATTTCTATTCTTAAAAAAACAAATTTTTTAAATTTAAATTATATATCAGTTTATATTAAAATAGTTAAATTTCAACTTTTCCGACATTTCCATTTTCTTGTGATTTCTGAAATTTTCATAATATTTTTCACAAAGTGATGATACTGACCATCAGGTCTTAACTCTCTAGTATTGAATTTTTAAATCACTCCTAATTTTGATAAGGTATTAAAAAAAAGTGTCGCATAATTTTGTCGCTCCCCTGTATGATACAGCAAGCCATTGGTATGTTCCTTAATTTAATTTCCAGAAAAGTATTAGAGAAGAAAATCCGAATACAATAAGGATATTTTTATGCAGCCGGAGATATGTTGATGGTTTATTAAAGGTCACAGAACTTTTTGTAACTTCGGCCGTTTATATTGAATATTTTAAATTCTTTTAAAACAACAGAGTACATGCTGTCTATATCGTTTTGATTGGTTATCGGACTTGACATTTACATTTGAATTGCTTATAGAATCGGAAGACGGCAGCTAGAGCAAAAATCGGTTATGAAATATTTCGATCTAAAAGTTTAATAGATTGGATCTAAAAAAAAGAACACTACTTTAGTAGAACTTACTAGAATCAGGTTTTTGTATCTACAAATTGAAACCAGTAGTTTTATGCCTTTCATCAAATCTTTAATCGGTCTTGTATGATTGACAAACCGAGACTAGACCATAAACAATCAAATGTAACAAATGTTGCAGACATCCATTTTTAACCAGGACCGTTTCTTTGCAACAATGTAACAACGGCACCATTGTTATTCATAAATTTGAAGAATTAACAAGGCTATGTGTCAATTGCGATGGGTAGAAGGTAACATACGCCCACAAGCAAGATGGGTAGACCAAATCAGGTTATTCTAACGTTGGCTAAATATTTTACGTAATGTAACGGTAACCAATTTTCGCTAACTATTTATTTTCTTGAGGAACTCCAATTGGAGTAACTCCCCATATTATTTTCATATTTATTTCTGTGATTATAGAAAGAACCAAATCCTGTCGTTGAAGTTGCACATTTCGAGAGCGAAAAACATATCCTGGACAAGGTTAAAATACTGTATATTGACCAGGTAATATGAGTCGTTCATGATACAGTAGTCAGTTTCAAAGGAACTTTCCACACGCACGAAAGTTATATTTCTTATGGTACACGTGGCGTTCTAATGTTTACGACTCTAAAGAATGTAACTAATTAGAGGCTTGGCACTTTTGTATCAGAGACAAAAGTACTAGACATGGAGAAATTCCACATCGAACTTTTGAAATGCCATAAAAAATAATTACCCTTTTTGTCAATTTATTGAATTTCATCTAATTGTTAGTCCGAATTTGGTAAGATTGAAGCATTCAACCTATCAATATTTCACTTCCTGATATTGTAGTTCCTCGACAACTTCTCTCGGATCCAATTGGATTGAATTTCTTTCGAATTCGAGATGATTTCCTCAACACGTATCGAAGATGAACGTGTTACGTACGTACAGCAGGTATTTTATCCCAATAAAGGATAGATCTTATCAAGTAATTATTCCGTTTTGTATTTCGCAGGTATTAATTTTCGCAAGTATCATTTTAACGTAAACCGATAGAACAAGGAAGCATGGAACAATCAATATTTAGTCATAACATAAATGTGCCGGGGTAATTATTCAGCACATTTTTCGAGTTAAGAAAATTATGTACAATATCAGTTTTTGTGCACAAAGTGATTAATGCTGTTATGCGTCCGGTGCTCTTTTATGGTTGAATGCCCTTTTTTACCTTTTTTTTTACGAATAGGGCATGAAGATGGGAAATACGCGGATACAAATCGAAGGATTCAATCGTGGATCTTTTTTAGCCTCGCAATTTATCGCACGAAATCGTACAATCTCTTGAAAGTTGGTCGCCTAATAAATTGCGGAAACTAGAAGTTTATTAATATAAATCTTCATGTAGCTCACGAACCACCGCAACATTTCTATATGCTGTTAATATTTACATTGAGTTGAGAAATAATATGTTGCTAAATATAAATATGAATGCTAAATATATTAAGTAATGAATATTATGTATGTCCATTTGGGAACTATTCATGGTGCAAAATCAAACTGTTCGAATATTTCATCTAAACTGTTTTTTTCAAGTACACTGACAACACTTCTAACTAGTGCAAAAAAAGAAAAATTTCAAGTTAGGTTTTAATTTTTTTACCGTTTTGGCCATCTTCATTCTCATGTTCTCTCTTAATGCTCGTGCTGCCCCCTGACTCTTTCTCTTTCTTGGACTTCTTTATGGATTCAACCAATTTTTTCATGTAATCTTCCAAAAATTTTGACACGCGATTTCGGATACTATTCATGTAGTGGTCAACATCTAACCTCGAATCTTTCCGCTGCATTTCTTTATCAAAGAATCGCAATTCTTTGTCATATAGAATGTTGATGCACTGAGTGATCGATAAGCAATGAATTTAGTAAAACGGGTATAACTAATGTGCGATGGCACACATGTAAGTAACAATCACCCGCTCTTTGTGCTTGTTAAAGGTGGACTCGTCCATAAGCTTTTTATAACGCTCGCATTGCTTAATGACAATCGAAGTGAACTATATAAATGACAAACAAGTCAATTAATTTCTTCCAAGAATCACAACAGGAGTAAGTGAAGAATTAGACGGCATACATACTTCGTCGCGAAATTGTTGTTTATCTAAGGAAGAAACCAACGAATTCCCCATCGTCGCATTTTCAGGAACATTAGTATGCGCGGATGATAATGGTTCCGCTGTTTCGTTCGCCGCGGTGTGAACGCGGCGTGAAAGTTCAGATTTTGCATTGTTTTTATTTGGTGATAATCCGCTTATCGGAACTCCTTCAGAATGACCATTTTTTATCACCTGATAAGACTCATCCACAGGAGTTTTCGCAAATAATATTTGCGACGCCTCGACTTCCTATTGGTGCGACAAATGTAGATTTCACATATAAAGCTTATGAAAGAAAACTTAATATTAGGGAATCATAGTTACCTTCATTTTACCTCTTTTCTTTGAAGAAAGGCTTTTACTATCATCATGATCAAAAATCTACATCAAGAATTATTTAATTTCAATAAACAAATATCGAGATAAATAATAATAATAATAATAATAATAATAGTGAAGTGGTTTGTGTATGTATAATCACTTTTTTGATTGCTTGTACATCTTTTTCGGTGACAACTGTTGTTATCAGAGGGGGGGTTTTAACACCAATCTCGGAATTATCAGGTACATTTCTGAC